CATGTATTGCGCTAGTAGGGTACATGATGGAATTTTAGCTCCTGTTTCGGCTAAGGAAATGCCACTGTCAGTCTAATGACGAACGTCTTAGCTTAACTGTCCAGAAAAGAAGGGCTGTGGCGCATGCGTTACAGAAAGCTTGGGGGGAGGGCAGGTTGATAAGTGCCGGTAAGACAAGTTCTTATTGCGGAGTGCTGACCACCCTCCCCGCCCCCTTCCTAGAAGCACCGCCCTTGGCGAAACAAGGCTTCTTTGGCGATCTACAACCAATATCTCAATGACGCGAATGGGGAGGGCAGGGGCTTGAAGGTTGCCACTAAAAATATCGACACAGATTCCACAAAGCTCTAGACTTCATCGGATTTTGACACTCCAGGGAGTAAAAATATTAGTCGCTATGTCAAGTTCAATGCCCATTAAAATGACCTACAAAAGTATGTAATCAATTTTCCATATCTTAAAGCCAATGGAGCACGTCAGCTGCTGCCCATAACTTTACACTTATGTTCACCGACCTCCCGCGCTCTTGCAACCAAAAAACCTGAAGCTGGTTCTTTTTTATTCTTCTTTCTCCAGTGGGACTTATTACGACTAAATAGGGATTGTTGCATGTAGTTTTTTCAACTCACGAGTAAATATTGGATTTTCCAAAGATGCCCTTCTCCCCTAAGGTACCCTGAGAATGTCCATCAGCGCAAATCCAAAATTAACCCTTTTAGGGTGTTGCTGTGCCCGAAACTTACGTGCTTACGCCTGCGTTCTGACAACTCGCAAGCATGTATTGTCTCTCCCTCGGGCTGCTCAAGCGCATCGTCGGATAACCTTTCCATTTAACTTTTTTCAGGTCCATGAAACCCAAGTATGAAGCCTTTCATAACTCTTGTATCTCAATTGGTCAGTGGGTGGGAGCTGAAAATGTTGATGAGAGAAGTGGACCTAGGACTGACGGGCGAAAAGCCTGGAAATAATAAGTTGGTAGGTTTTCAGTTAGTTAAACCAGAATTTTCTTGGTATTTATCGAAGGAAATGGAAATATCCACTTCGAAAACAATCCCCAGGAATCGTCCGGGAGCTAATAGAATTTCCTCTTCTCATGTGTACACGTTCACGGGCTAGTGACAGCTGTGCAGGAAGCAAATTTTTCAAATCCTGTGGATGAATGTATACGTTTTGGCCAAATCGGAGCCTACAAGGACAGCCAAGGGGCTTTAAAATCCACAAATTTTCATTCCATCCTGATGTTAGGTATGTATACAGCGTAGGTTATTTGAGAAGATGTTGTTTCGTTCTAACAATCGAACTTCAGGGCGCTGTGGATAAGAGGCGTCTCAAGAAGACTAGAAATTATATGATAGGAAGCCGGAACCAGACACTTTCGAACAAGGCCTCGACTTGCCAATGGCTGAATGTTTTGACACTGGAAGAAAAAATGTCGAAATAGGGTACAGGCCCCCTAAGGCCACCTTGTTAAAATTGTCCTCCGACGTGGAGGGCTATCGATCTCCCATTTTATCGCTGATTATCCAATAGCCAGGTACCATTATCTGGGCTTTTAATGGTGAGATAGTGCTGACCTTGGCAATATGTGGGTCCTTTTTTCAGGGAAGTTCCAAGGGCTTGGTGGAGGCTGTTAAATGTGCCTGTTATGGTGAGAACTACCTCTAAGGAGGCAGATTAAGCAGTCACTATACACAACACCCTGTCAATCTCACCAAGTTCACGTGAACTCCGTGTGAATCACCAACTGCCAATGATTGTTTGAAAGTGCTCAAGGGGTTTGTGAGGCGTGGCGTTAAATAAACGTGAGAGGATACAGCAAGGTCAGATACGAAGCTCACATTACCTCCAGAAGACCTTACGTGAGAACGGCATAAATGCTCAAATGCAAAATTAACTCTGAGAGCGTGGGAACGTGAATATCGTCGTAAACAGGGGAACATTTAGCAGGTCGATGCGACCACCGCCGCTTCTGACGGCGCAGAGGACCATTTCCTAAATGTCACCAGCCTTGCCAATACAAGCGAAAATGCGAGTCCCAGGAGGTAATTGAGAAGAAGTAGATCTTCTCCGCCACCATCCTTGCAGACGACGCTGGACAGGCGACTTGCGAATTTGTTAAGACTTTGGAGAAGCTAGTCAAAAGCCGGAACACTCGGTGACCTCTACCACCATAAACCTGATCAAAATGATGAATGGAAGCACATATGCGTATCCCAGGTTCTTTAATTGTCTTTTGTTCGAAGCCGGAAGCTCAGACAGGTAAACATTCTGTCGCTTCATGTTCTCTGCAATCATTAAAATTACCTTTGACGGTCCCTCCCGTCAATTGCGCCATTTCATTGTTTCTCAAATTTCCTTCTCTTCCCGCCTATTTCCCGCACACCCGGGACGAGGGGGGGGAGGGGGCGACACCTGACCCCAGGATCCCGTCTCCGTTTCTCGATTCAACGTTGTCACAGCAACTGACCAGGCGACAAATAAAAAGATCACCCCACACCGCTGAACAGCCTCCCGCTAGGTGACGCAGGCCACAGTAATGGACCGGCGTGACTCCGTGCGCTCATATTACATGAATGACCGGCGGTAGCGGCAAAGATGTCGGGGCGCTAAAAGCCGCCTGTAGAGACTGAGCAATAGGTTTTTCTTTCTTTTCAACTCCGCCCTCCCCCTCTCCCCCCCACCAGTCCCCAGCGAAGGAGACGATGATGTCCGTCAGCGATTGTTCCTATCAAATGATAACCTACATATCTGATAGTGAAGTTAGCTGGCACGCAACACCAGGCAATGCGATCGCAGATTCACACGGAGGCGTGTTGATATGGGCTTGCTGATGAAAGAACTGTATGACCCTTACCTTACAGCAGATTTCCTAATTGATGAAATCTTATAGATTACACAAAAAATTCTGGTACACAAAAGCAGCATACACTGCGTCCCCAAACTCGTAGAACAGTAAAGAAACGGCCGTTCTTATCTTAATTGGGAATATCAATAGAAAGTTATAAAAATAGAAAATTCTGAAAACGTGAAAGGTCGCTGTTACTAGTGAAAGCCCGTCGATGCAAAAAAACGAAAAAAATCAATCAGCGCAAGTAAATTTACGTTTGAGAATACATTTCGCAGTGAAATTTGCGCTTAAATATCCCCCAAAGACAAGTGCGCTTTTACAGAACTGCCACTAAAAAGCTGCCCACTGGTGGAATATAGATTTAAACACAGTTTCAAGATAATTGGCTGTATTTTTCCCATCTTCCATTATCTGAGACGCATTTTGCCAAGACAAATAGGTTTTCGTTTGATTGCTCCGATTGCAAGAAGTAAACTTTTCATAAGCTCATATGTTTCAGACCAGTCAGTGACTAATAAATGTAAATATAACTGGCATGTATAGTCGTAAAAATACTATTTTCTGTGAATATTAAGCTAAACCTCCTTTCGTCAAATTTCTTCATGGGAATTTGCCCTGTTTACTTATGATGAGTTTTCGGTCGTCCTTGAAATTGTAGTAGATACTTAACAACTTTCGTTGTTCTCCCCTGATTGCCCATAAATGTAGATTATGTCCTATGTATTTATCAAAAACGTAAAAGTAAGATTTTTCTTACAAGCCTTAGCTGAATTATGGTGTTCTTGGACATACTTTCTAATGAATATGGCTATTTCGGTCCTAGTTGTAGGCTCGCTAATATTCGATAGCTCATCGCCGGGAATAATGAAAGCCCACAACATCGCTAGCTGGTCTTTACTGTATTGTGCTTACTTCCTCAAATCTTCATTACGGCCGCTGAGAGCAACATATTGAACTATAACCTGACATAATTTCCGTCACGCTACTAACGAAACCGAATGGG